GTGTCACATCTCTCCACGTGTCTCCAGGTGCCAGACCGCAGTTTAGGACTTGCAGGGTGGTGCCAGGCCATGCAGCCTTTGCTCTTCAGCCACAGCCAGGGCAGGATCCCAATCCCACTGTTCCATGCCGAGGGAGTGGTACTGATGCCGAAAATACAGCAAGACACCTGTCGCTGTTGACCACATTTCAGAGAGACGAGAGACACTCTTTTCAGGAGTGAAAAAAGCTTTAATTTTCACATCCCTTTATATAAAGTTTTACAAACCCTCTTGTGTCTCTCTCCTGTTGGTCAGTAACAAGCTGTTACCCCGTGGTAATTGGAGAAGGTGTCTACATGCAGGAAAGGGTTGTTTGTGAGATACTGTTTTCATTCCTAAAGCTGAGACAGTTGGGATTGTTGAAACAGGAGCAGGAAAACAAACTGCAGAATTCTTTTGCAGGGAAATAAGTTGTTTTTCACTGCTGCAGGCTTCTGTTTTCATGAAGAGATGTTTGCTTTCTCAGGGCTATGTCGGGCCAAGTCAGGATCCAGTCTGCGAGGCCTTATACAGGCCTGCTGTTTGTCACCACAGACACCCATGCCTGCTTTTCTGGAGCTTCACTCTGCTCCCTTACCTTCTGTCAGCAGCCAAAAACAGGAGCCCACTGCAGAGCTGTACAAATGGCCACAGTCAGGCTGTATCAGAGCCAGGTGAACAGCAGCAAGGGATGGGTTTGCTGTGAGGAAGGAGAGGTCCCTGCAGAAACCACTCGGTTTTTTCAACTGATGGAATGAATAATCTCAGCACGAAAAAGCTGCAGCTGTACACAAAGGCCTCAACTGGTGCTTTAGTAGGTAGAAACAAACCAGCAGGAATGTGCTAGATGAAAATGGAGGCCAGGCTGGGAGCTGCCAGCTGCACTCAGGGACTCCAGATTTACTCACACGAGGAGGTTTCTCCTTGCTTGCTGGAGGCTCTCAGTTGCTCTGTGGGATAGGTCAGCCTTCTGAAAACACAACGGAGCTACTGGGCCGAGTCCTTTCTCACTTGCCAGAGTGGGAACAAAAGGTGAGAGGATGCAGGGAGTGCCACAGGTGCTGGGGGAGTTTCTCTTCCATCCTGGGAAATTGCTGATGGAATCCCCTGTGAATCTCGACAGGACTGAGGTCAGCCAGTATTCATTCTCCACTCCCAGAGGTACATGAGAGCTGATGCCATGATCTGCAGAGTTTGAAATAGCTGCCCTAAGGTACCATAGGGGGACACGAAAACAAGGATGATGCTTCAGAGAAAACAGCAGCTTCAGCTTCAGGAGCATCAAGGCATGAGAGGTCACAGCAGGTGGGTTAAGGAATAAAAACTGGCCTTACTCAGCCAGGGGCAAAAACTACAGTCATTGCTTTATACTGGGAAAGCAGGAAATGTCCTGTGCCTTTTGCAAACAGGGAGTCTCTGGGTGATGCACTGGAAAACAGCAGGTTTCGGGCAGTGCTGATGCCACCTCACCCACGCGAGGTCAGCACCTGCAGGGCTCAAGCAACCCTTTAGGGTGGCAGTACACAAATTCCTGCCACACACAGGGCCTGCAGCTGCTGCTGGCAGGGGGGCTCCCAACAGCCCCAGGAGGCTGCCGATTGTGCCGTGCTGGTCGGAGAAAGGTGCCATGCTCACCCATCCCAGCTGGCCCAGGAGGTGGCTGCTGGTGGCACGGCTGAAGGGCCACTGCCATGGCTGCAGCCCTGCTGCAGAAGTGTCCCCCTTGCTCCCGTGGGGCAGGGAGCCAGAGCTCCAGCTGCAGCAAAGCCCTTGCAAACAACTGAATTATGCCCAGCCTCTCCTGTCTGGGGATTCCCCTTAGACACTGAAGGCAGCAACTTCATTAGCTGCTGAAGCCTCGCAAGCCGGGAGACTCGGACCTCACGGACTGGAGCAAATGAAGCTGTCAAGCTTTCATGCTCCCGTTACCTGCCAGACACTTTAATCCTGAGTTTAGCAGATGTTAATCCCGGCCCGGGTGATTTGTGAGGAGGAAAGCTGTGAGGAGGAAAGCTGCTCCCTTGAGAAGTCACCCTGGTCCGCAGGGGAAGGGAGCGGCAGGGAAGAGCCAGGTGGGGTGGGAGCAGCCGCACGGCGCCCATTCTCCTCCGTGACAGAGGCCCATGGCGCTCGGGGAGAGGCCTGGCAGCTTCCTCTTCCTTCTGTTTGAAGCCGGCTTAAAGAAACAACTAGGAGGGAAGGGAGGGGGGAAGTTTTGTTAAAATGTAAACGCGTGTTCAAACAAAGCAATCTGTAAACAGGAAGAAAGGAAAGTAGGGCAGAAGCTGGGCACAAAGCATGGCTCCGAAGCCAACGGGCCGAATGCGGAGGCACAGAGCACCTGCCATTTCCAGCGGCCTCAGCTGAGGCCGTGTCCCTGCGCCTCAGATCGGCCTCCTCCTCTACGCTCTTGCCTTTACGAGGAGTGAGTCATCTTGCGTCAGCTGAGGATGGGCTTTATGCAATTATTTATTTATGTCCACCCCTCCTTCCTGCCACCATGCATCCCTGATCTCATCCCCCTCAGAAAACAGATGCTTTATTACATGAGGCCTGGAAAACTCCATCTCACTCGGCTTTTGCTGAGGCTCCTTGTTTCCCAGGGGCTGGCTGGCAAGGAGACAGCAGGAATGAGCTGCACAGCACCTCACAGGCAGTGTGCTCTGCTTGTTTTGCTTTTTGGACACCGGCACCCCTCTCGCTGCAGGGTGGGATGGAGCTGGGGGCCTCCTCTAGTGAACAAACATGCCGGGGGATGTTTGCAGACACCAGCAGGCTCCAGCCTGCACACCCCCAGGCACAGACATTGCTCAGGTGTCGTAGCCTCAGAAGGAGAATGAGACCTTACAGAACAAGGCACTCAAAAGCCAGGGGAGGAATTTCCCTGCTTAGTTCCTGCTGCTGCAGGGAACTCTTCCCACCTTCCCGCTCTTTTTGCTGCCAGGTGTGTGTTGTTCCCCTCTTTCTGCTGAAAACAACACAGCATCCAGAAGTGGGCATGGACTACTGGCTGTACCACATAACAGCGTGTGGTAGCAGGGCCAGACACACACACACGTGTACAGCATCACCATCTATTGCCGGCAGTTCCCAGGATCACCCTGGGGCCAGCATAGCATCCCAGTTCACCCTACAGGACAAGCAACTTGGGGCAGAGGTGGCATGTCCCATGTCCCAGCCGTAGGGAGGAAGGCAGGATGTGATACCAACAGATGCCACTAATTTAAATTTCACACGTGAAATCCTGTACCTACTGAACTGGAATGATTTCCAGCAGATTTTTCTGATGCAAAGCCAAACTCTGCTCTAACTAGTTATCGATTGCTTCCATAACACAGCTCAGGACTGAGGAGGAAAACACAGAACTGACTGGCAGTTAAGGCTTTCCAGAAGGCGACTGGGAGGAGCAGCTGGGGAAGTGGGGAGGGATGGTGGAAAGAGAGTTACTCTAACAAATGATAGGAACATGTTCCTCACTTAGCATCCAACTGTTTCTGGGTACAGACTTGAATAATTCATGCATTAGAACTATCATCTCCCACAGAGGGAATTGTGATGGTCCAGTTGTCACTGTGCTTCAGCAATGGGTTCAGCTGCCCCCAGCCACACCAAAAGGCTTATCGCAAAAGTGGAGCAAGGATGTGAGCACAGCTGTGGGGGAATCTGTGCCGTAAATCCGTGGATCACATTCCATCAACCTGCACAAATTACCCTGGCTGGGAGCAGCACCCAAGAAGCATCTCCTGCCTGGAGAGTGAACTCCTTTCGTTTTCCCCCACATCCTCCACATAACCTTGGTGAAATGCACTTGGTTTTACTCAGAACACCCACAGCTCCACTCCCAACTGGTGTAGGGGGAGAGGTGTAAAATCACACCTTCCCCGCAGCAGACTTACCCTGTACACTATCCGAAACCACACGGCTCATCTGTGCTCCTGTCCTCATCTCACTTTACATTCAGCACGAGGGCTACAGCTCCTCAGCTGCTGCCAGGCCAGGCAGGAAGGTTTGGAGAGGTAACACAGCCAGCCAGGTCTCTCACATGCACAGCTACCTGCTGCAGGTGACCTGACTTGCAGAGCTGCAGCCACTGCCCCAGGAGAAAGTTTCCAGGTAGCCAGCATCACAGTGCTCTGCTCTTGTCAGGATGCTCCACTGGAGAAAAATTTAGTGGCTCTGGGCAGAAATTCCCTCCTCCAGCAACATGTCTCTGCAGGAGCCTGTTATAGTAGCCTCCTTCCAACTGTTCAGGGACAGACCAGAGTGCTGGGAACCATCCGGGACAAAGAAATCCATGCACTGCCCAGCCACAGGTATGCTGTCAGGGAATTAGTTTTAAAGAGGCAACCATGAAGTGTTTTGGAAGGAAGCTAAACTGGTATTTGGGTTTGAGGAAACTGAAGCAAAGAGCAGCTATTAAGTTACCTTGATCATCTGGTGGGGTTTCCCAGACTCCAGGTGATGAGAAAGGACTGTTTGCTACCATCTTTGCCCCATATTCCTTTTTTTTTTCCTTTGGAAACCACCCATGAGTTTCCCTACCTGCTGACCTGGCAGCTCTAATTTATGCTAACCTTGAAGGCCATCATGTCTGCTGAAGATCTACAGAGGAAGCATTAACCAGAGACATCTCACCTCCAGCCACCCCCACAAAAGAGCAGCTACATCAGCTCTTGTCTGCTGAGACCTTCCCTGGCCAGAGGGATACAAGCCTGTCACATCACTGCTTGTGGGACAAGTAAAGAGTGAGAGGGACTCAGAGGGGCCAGAGGCTGGCCCGGAGGGTTGCACTCCCACCTGGAGACTGCAGACAGGTGAGATGCCAAGCTGCTTTTCTGGCTGTGACTCTACACTATGCTTTTCCTTCCTCTGCTCCAGCTCAGACTGCAGCACAGACATACAGAAATTCTGTCCCACAGCAATGCCTCTTTCACCAATACTTCAAAAAAAAAAAAAAAATCACCTGGAAGTGTGAGGAAAACTGTGCTTCAAAAGATTTATTACATATATTTGTACATATTTTACATGAATGGAATGTTAAACATACAACCTAAAAATCAATAAAAAAATATTTTCATTCGTGATTATGTACTGGCAAACCACTGAAAAGAGTACCTTAGAACAACTTAAGTCAACTTGCAATCATACTGCTCAATTAAAAAAACCAAACAAAACAACAAAACAAACAAATATATTTTACATTTACATTAGACATTGCAAATTACATTCCAATTTCTGCTCCGGGTAATGAAGGAAGATATCTTGTCCATTACCACTGCACATACAGGTGGCATTTCAGAAGCTAGCATGGACCTCCCTCTAACTCACTGTGGGCAAGGTTAGCTCTCTAGGAAGAGGCATACAAAAAAAGAGAGTACACACTCTGCTCCCTACCAGCAGGTATCTGCCAAAGGGTGGGAAGAGCCAGAATGAGATTTGTAATCAAGGGATAAAGGTTAACGCTGGATCACCACTCATTCAGTGCCACACTGCAGCTCTTAAAATTTCTTACAAGTAGTTTTTAAGTAATTCATTAAAGCATCCCCTCTACAGCTAAGCCACCTCCCTTCTTCCTTGAAAGTTATAGTGCTTTGGCAATATCAGCTAGGGAAGAATTCTTCACTGTATGGTAACGAATATTTCAGCTTCATCTTAATATACACAAGAGCATAGAACCAAGCTTTGATGTCTCTTCCTCTTAGAATTTCACACCTTGAGAGCTTGTGACCAGTTGTGTTGAGAAGTGTTTACTATGAAATATAACATATCAGCATTAAAAGGGACAGATTTGAGGGAAAACAAGAGGAACAGGATTCAGCAACAGATTATGTTTTTGCAACGTCGGGTTACTTACACTTGGAACTCTGCCAAAATCGAGCAAATCCTATTTATCGTTGCAAAATCTTTGCCAAAGCACACCCAAGGGCAAAAGTCTCTCAAACAAACACACATAGATTAAAAGCTGCCAGAAAGATCAGTGAGTGGGCTGGCTGCCTTCTAATTCTTGTACACTGGCAACTTATTAGATCCAAGACAAAACCAAGTCCACCCTTTTTCAGGTGCAGGATATTCCTATGGTGCAGGATACTCCTTTTTCAGGTACAGGATATTCCTATGGTGGTTTACCTGAGCAAGTCTTCAACAACTAATAATGCTCCACAGTGAGGTCATTTTACAGCTTATCCCATCATCAGCTCTGATGTACTAATTGAGACATGACTTTACAGAACACAAGCAGCTTGGAAAGCCAGCCCATAATTGTGGAGTAAGATAACCAAATGTAATTTGAGAGTATGCACTAGGTTGGTTTTTCTAACCCCCAACAGATTAAACCATCTCCAACCTGATTTTTAGAAGCAGGCTACTTATGTGGAGAAACAGAGACATCACAGATTTTTCATTCAGGAAACAAATCCTGGACATAGTTCTGTTGTGAATTTCTCACACAGAGTGTTTTGAATGACAAAAAGTTAAGTGGTAGGAGCTGCATGAAGAAAACCCCACATTTGGCTGGATTGTAGGAAATCCATAAGAAGCCTTTTCTTACAGTTACAACCTCTTACATCACTTCTACTGATGCCAATGGAAAGCCTATTGATATGGGAATATGGCCTAACATATATCTCATCTTCAGCAAGACGGAGGAGAAATTGATATAAAATGACTTCTAAGCTTGGAAGGGTGGAAAGTAATCATCAAATATAGCACTCATCAAAAAAAGAGATAATCTTCCACTAGTAAAGGTGAGCTGGAAGATCCCATAGTAGCACTTCTGCACTCCCAGGTGTGTGGTAGTCTCTCAGCAGGAAAATCCCACCTGCACAGCAGAATTAGTACCAAATTTGCACACAAATATTCCTTCAATACAGGAAAGCAGCTAAAAGCCACAAGAAACTCAGAGGGATCACTGCCTGTATCAAAACCAACGTGTTTTGCCACCATTTACAAAGAGAGAACAGTAACATTCAAGTGCCAAGTTCCTTGCTTTTGGTGGAACACGGAAGAAATGGAGCAAGTTTCTAAAGCCCTCACGCAGAAAAGGCAGCGCACTAAAGGCGTTCTTAAGCACATCTCACGTATTAGACATATCCCTCCAGAAACACCAAAGATCCACATTTCTGAATAGAAATTATCTTTCCCATATTTGCTGAGATTTTAGTTTCCTGGGAGTCTGTTCTACCAGCTCTCCAGTCTTTCAGCAAGGCTTAATTAAAAACCCAGTGCTCCTAAAATTAAGAAGTAGGATAAATGTACAAATCTTGAGTTTCAGTCATAAACCCCTTTTACATCATAAGGGGGGAAGCAGGGAAAAAACCAAGGTCACAAGCATCCACCCACATTTTTGTACATTGCCTATACATTTTCCATTCCAAAATACCCCAGTACACTTACCCTTGATTATGACAGCTAACCTGACTACAAATAAGACCATCTGTTTTTGGCTTTATCCCTCCCAAAAATAAAATACCAATAATTTGTGGTGCGCTTGGTATTTTTGCTTTCACATCCCACTGAATTCATTGCTGTACACACTGAGAGAAAATGAGATACCTTCTCCCAAAGGGAAGCATTATTATAGATATACTGAATTGTAAGAGCCAGGACAAAGGGTGCCCTGTGCTGACAACAATCTTGACTCCCTTGTTATTGTATGGGGTATGGTTAAACACAAACCAGCTCACAGCCACCTCCACTATGAACTTCGAAACACGAGCTGCTACTGAAGAGACATGGGTATGTTACAAGTTCAGAAAAATCGCACATTTCAAGACAGTGTCAAATCTACTCTTCCCCTGCTGGCAAGCAGCATGTTTATGGCAGACCTGAGTATGGGAATTATTTCACACCCTTACATATTTAGGGAAGATACAGGCCAGATGACAGAAAATACTCTGAAACAGCACAGAATTGGCAATTTCAAGATATTTACAGGCAAAGAAGCATATCGCACCGAAATTGAAGTTATTGCTTCTTGTGGAGAAGTGTGGTGTTCCTTGTTTGAGACACAGGACTTGTTTGGTGTTTATTTTTCCCTTCTGAAGCACAATGAGTTGACACCCCTGTGAGGACATTTTCAAAATGAAGGTGTTGTCTGTGACTAGAGCTGTGCCTACAGCATGGTCATCACCAGCTGATGGTGACAGAAAGCTTATCTAGGTGAGTTTCCACTGGTGTTTTCAAACCCAAGCATCACTCTCATGCTTCCAGGGTCATTCCAGCCTTGGTCAATGTTTCAGGCTTTGATACAAGAAAGCCTCCCATTGTCTTTCAGAAGAGATTTATGGATGCCAAGAACATCAAACTAAAGCTGACCTTGTATCAGTTCCTCAAATAATCCAAGGAATTGCTCCTCTACTGTGTTGATGGAAGCAGCAATGGACTCTTGCCTACAAAAGCATCACCAGTGCGATGGCTAGTGACCTGCTTTTCCAACACTGTTCCTAAACGTGGGACAATAGCCCTAACTGCTGGGTCTTTAAATCAGCTACTTCCATCTGAATACAGAAGATGAAGGGTTTTGAGGAAACAATAAGTGAACTAGAAGTATGAACTACCAAAACTGAGCTCAAGTTGTACACAGATTTATCTTTCTTGTATTTATGTACTTAACCCTCAAGCCAAAGACTATCTATGACCTCAGAGCACAGGACATCAAAACACTGACCTACCCCCTTTACATGACTACAGGTGAGTTTCTGCAGGCATGAAGCCAGCCGTAAACATTAAACCAATGCAAATGGAAAAGTTTTACTTTCAGACGATATCAGGAGTTTAAAACATTGAGAAAATGGGCCTGCAGGCAACACCACTATTTGAGTATCACAGGTGCTGTAATTCCTCATCCCCTCCCTCCCTCCCCAAGATAATACAAGGCAACACAAATATTCTCGTTGAAAAAGGACTCTGTACAGGGAATGACTGTACATTTGATGTGACTACAGAATCGAACGTGTGACAAAATGATTCTGCTCCCACTGAAAAAGAGAACTCAACAGGGCCCCATAGCTTACAGGTTCAGCTGAAACCAGTGATGCAAGCCCAAAAGTATAGAAACTGCACGGTCAATTATGACAATTATCTAGTTTGGACTCCTTTAGATTTGCAGCGTAACAAAGGCATTTTACAGAGCAACATTCAGGAGAAAATGTTATCCAGGGAAGAACTGCTCTTCAAGCAAGATAGGAGAGTTTAGGAACATGAACTGCACTTCTTCTCCAGATAGCAGTAGTTGCTCCTATTCTTTGCCCTTTTTGATATAAATCACAGCAGCAACAGAGAGAAATGTGTACTTAAACAAAACAAACAAACAAAACAAAGAAAAAAAATAAAAACCCAACCAGAATTATTTAGGTACAAGAAAAAAAGTCTGAAGTGTTGTGCAACTTATTTTAACTATTGAAACTCACTAAGAATACTGTTGCTAATAAATATTCATAAACTCTTCCCTGTGTTGTGAAATTCAGAAACTACTACAATTAATTCTCGATATAAAAAGTATGCTTCTAAACCCTGATATCTGTTCCAGTTCATTGTCTTTTTAAAAAAAAATTATTTATTTTAACTGTGATACTTTGTGGGAACTAATACATATCCACAGCTTTACTCGGTGTACCCACCCAGAGACATCCTATGTTTTGTGGAGCTCTGATATACCAATATAATACAGTAAAATAATAATAAATTAAACAAATACAGATTAATTTAAAAAAAAAAAGAAAGGAAAAAACCCAAACTAAACAAAAGACCACACTGTCAAATGCTGGTCTCCACATGAAGACACCAAGGGTTTAGATGCAATGTATTACAGATCCTGCGACCAAAAAACACATTCAAACAAGGAAACGTGAACTTGCGCATGTTTGAAAAATAAACACAAATCCCACCTCGATGTAATCTCGCCCATGCCTATAAAAACCTCTCCCTGTGCCCACACTTGCAGTTATTCATTTACACCTCAGGAGGCAGCCTGGAGATGAGAGTAGTACAATAAAATAATTACCTGAAACATCTTTAAAAAAATACCCGTTAAACAAATTACCTTAACTGGCAGCACTTAAAATTGGTAATTCATTTCTTTTTCCTATTTTAAAAAAAGTTGCATAGCTGTAAGATTTGCTTTGCTGCATTTCTTTCTGTCGTTTTGACTCATAAGCAATAAAAGAGACGTTTTAGTTACTTAAATAGCAATACAGTGTGCAGATTTCAACAATCTCTATAGCTTGATCAATATAAATTAGTTACCTGTCTTGGTTTTACTCTTTGGACTGCATTGTGACAAAGGTTTAGTTACAAAACTTTGAAATACAGTATTCCTACACAGAGCGGGTTATGTTTTCTGTTCTTGAAAAAAGTGAAGAACGTAAAACAGGGTGTGAATTCAGTAAATTAAGGTCACACTGTTAGATTTTATTTAGTTTGCCATTTACTGTTCTTCAGCCAACGAGAAGGTGACAACGTTCCCACTCCAATCTGGGGCCGTCCCCCTGCAAGGGTCTCAGAGAGCACGTATTGAACGTCTCCGCTTCCACTGGAGGCAGTAGGAAACATGTCCAATAACTCGCTTCTTCACAGAACCAGAAGTTAGGCTGAAATTTGGAACTTTGGCCTTCAATACAAAACAGTGTCAGTAATGTCTCTGGGGAGTCGATTGTTACAGGATGTGCAGCATTTTCAAAATCCCTGTGTGTCCTTTGCATGAGTGTTTGGTATACTGAGCACTACTGTCAAGTAACGGTGTCTGCAATGCTTTCTCCGTGTCACTGTCCATCTTTGCCTTTTTCAGCCACAAAGAACTAAGTCTCAAGCCAGGCACGCTGTGTTCAGCAAGAGAACCTCACATCTCCTATGTTTTCTGATCAGTGGAAGCAGCTGTTGGAAAAGAGAGCACAAAATACCATTATTTCAGTACAGAAACCATTCAAACAGCATCAGCACAACTGAGTTTTCCTTCCTCTTTTTTCTTAAGTCCCCAGTTATCACCATCCCCGCTGTGGAAAAAGCAAATAGAATTTAACATGAGGCTGGACAGCCATGAGCATGTACAGAGACAGAGGTGTTCATGAACAGCGTGCAGACTTCTGCCACAACCAGAGAGTGGGGATATAGGAAATATAGGAAATGTGTTTGGTTATTAATTTTGGCTAACACTGCCCTGAGATTAAAACAATTATCTCAGTAGCAGGATATCTTCCTTGAGGTTTTCTTTGCTACCCCTACAACACAGACACATGAAGCAACATGAAACAAATGCACGAATAAATGCTAGTCATGAATACTTCAGATTTTTTTTTTAAATTTCCATCAGAACAACAAAACCAAACTCTCAGCTACCAGATAGGATTTCAGATATCTCTGTTTCTCTAAGAATTATGATTGTTGGTGTGCTTTGCAATGCTTAGGGGCAATTATTTAATGTAAGATAAAGTTTCTGAGTCAGTCAACTAAAGAATAAAACTATCCTTTAAACTTTTAACACAGACTGCAGATCTGCAACCATTAACACAAAACATAAGCTGGAAAAATGTGAACTTCTGTGAGATGGGATAGAAACATGTCCACATTTTTTATTTATTTATATGCTTTAAACATTCTGGAATGCATTAACATTAAGGTAGTTTTGAAAATACCTAGCTTCAACCTTTTTGTATGATTCCAAAAGCCTTCTGTCAGAAATACATGCCAGTACTCACGGAACAGTCCAAAATGACACAATTGTATTATTTTAATTTTGTTTCATTTCTATAGAAAAATACTCTTAGAAAGGTAATGCTAAAGGTTTCTTGACACTGACTTGCCACTTTGCAGTACTAAAACTGGAAAGAGCACGCCATGCAAGGATGTAGAAACCTTATGCTTATATTGCAATACACATCAATCCTTACTGATTAATATTGTAGTTCTGAGACACAGTAGTAAATTCACAGTTAAAAAGAAATAGTACAGTTATTTCAGGTAATCAAGATATTTATTGTTGGAACATAAATAAACATTACCTAAAAATATGAATCTTGTCTTAATCTGATGGATGTTCAGGGCAAGATCTATTTACTTCAAACCATTCATCTATGCAGCTGTTGGATACAAGACAAAAAATGGGAACAATTGACATGAATACCAGTAATATTTAGCAGTAGGATATGAATATAAATTGGTTTCTCCATTTCAATGACTAGTAGAATTTTATATTATACAAAGAAGTATATGCATATACACACATCACTGGAAAAACTAATAACCCCATACCACAGTAATATTTGGGCACTAAGCACTGTTGAAAACCTAAATTTCTTAAGTGTTAAAATTTTCTAAGGAAGCATTTTACAAATTACAGATTTTATACACCGGTTAATTAGCTACTAAGGTTATCATCTTGCTTATGTCATTCATTGACATTTTACTCTCTGTAAAGTACAGACACTTATGAAAAAAAAATATGAAACAGGTTAAAAAACCATTCTCTCCTCTCCCTGGCCAACTCTATTAGCATTTGACAAAACTTAAGCCCACATGACCTAAGCTCCTCAGCCATGATACACATTCCTTTCCCATCCAGATGATTTTACAAGAATGAGAAGCCTGTAGCAGGGAAAATTAACTTCAAATACATTTGGTAGAGATGGAGAAAGATGTCATTTGAAAAACATCTTTAAGACTGCTACTGCTGTTTCTTTGTTACTTTTAAATGCAAAAAAAGCAACTAAGTTTAAGCACTTCTTTAAGCACCCCTTAAGAAGAGTTACCCCATAAATGCAACCTTGTGGAATTTTACATCCATCCTAAGGAATACTTGCCCTTTATGATATATGCAGAGGCAAGGCAGCCGTGCTATAGTATCTCCTTGCTGCAGCTCTTCCAGGCATATTGCACACTCCCCAGCGTCTTTACTCAGCACATCCTCTGAGGAAAGGGCACAAAGTGAAATGGTTAAGAACCAGAATACTACAAGCAAAATGTTCTTTATTCAGAACATCAAGGATAGCTCTAGAAGAAGGTATTTTGTCCTGCAGAAAGGTAAGGATCAGTGACACACCAACTGACTGAAGATTAATGATGAGAACCCATGCTCAGTTTTCAACGTGGAAATTAAGTTCAAGCCTGAATGTAACATTTCTCTGACAAGGCACTGTAGGTAAAAAAACAGGTAAAGTTCTTCCTAGCTTCTAAACACTTAGCCTGTCATTTGATTTTTCTACTCATCTCTCTTCTATACATCTGGCTTTCTTCCACCAGCCTTGCTAGTAACTCATATTTCACACCTTCAACTTCTCACCACACTAGCATGTTCTACATCCCATCCACCTTTTTCTCAGTGTAAAGTATGAAACTGCCAACTGTAGGAATGTGAGATTTCCATGAAGGAAAGGTCATTGCTGTATAGCTCCAATGAGTCCTGGAGACACTAAATTTTTTGCAGCATTACCAAGTCCGAGAGCAAAGGAGGAAAAAGTAAATTACTAGGAATGCAAAAGAGTTGGCTTTCACTAAGAAGTTTCTGGGAAAACATATTATTTTTAATAAAAACCTTCTCTCTTGGACACTTCTATTAGCCAGAATGTGGGATGCAGAATTCAGTCAGCACAAACAGAAGATCACATAAGGTCTTCTTTGCCAGATGCAGATTAGAAGTCCCTGTTAGACACAACCTCACGCTCCACAGGGCACTCCCAACTAGAGACCATGTAGCAACCCAACTGGCAGATCAGAAAGGTGCACGCTTGGCAAAGTAAATCCACATGTTCAAGTTTCCACGGTTTCATGAGAAAAGCTTCCTTTTCATTGCAAAAAGTACGCTCAAGTGATTGCTTATGGAGAGTACTTTTTGCAGCTATGACTGAGAAACCAGCAGCTCTATGCTGTTCTCTCCTGTGGCTCCATCGCCACTGGCATTCCAAACACAAAGAATGACAGACTACTAGAAAGCTACCATGGCAGCAAGAAAGTAAAAGGAAATTAGGTCTACATTGTTTCCACTAAATGACAGTCAACTGTCTTGCAAGTGCTTGGGTTTCTAAAGCACTGGTTATTTCAGTCTCCACTACATTCACTGGATATGCTAAAAATCCTGTATAATGCCACGTGTGTAGCACCTTCATGGAGATGTGAAAAATATCTAGCATGCAGTGAACTATTATAAAGAAAAATATTCAAAACAAAAATATAAAAATATACATCCACCACAACAAAGAAAATTTTAAAATGTTTTAAAACATTTTATGCACAGTAAACTTCTGTTGTTCAATCAGAAACTGTAAACTTCTCAGAACATTAGCGATACTAGGGAGACAAGGTAATTTAAAACAATAGAAAATATTTTAAGAACTCTTACCTGTCAACTTGCCCAGAAGAGGGTGCTAAGGATAAATACTTCCTTGAGGTTGGATTTTGGTATTTGGTTGTTTGGGGTTTTTTTAATACAAAGGTATTCTAATATCTGACCAGGAGGCAAACACTCTCCAGACACTGTCTGGCTAGAGAGATATCAATCTTTCTCTGATGCTGTCAGACTTCATCCTCCTAGACCACCTCTTTGCACAACTTTACAAGAACTCCTGTGAGCAGTTCTCTTCTCACAGTTAGGTGGCAGGAAGCACCATTAATAATTAATAATTCAAGAATGTATCATACATACAGAGCATATTTTAAAAAAGTAACTTTTTTCACAGAGTCCCTTTATCAGATCAGCAGCTGCTACCCAAACCAAAATGGGACAAAGATACCTCTAGTGGATTAAATCCCAGTCTCACTCCCTCAAGTACTCTCAAGAGGGAAGCATTTAGTCAAGCTTTGATAAGAGAAATTGAAAAGCTGTCCGATAAAAACACAGTTTATAAAAGAAAGCATTCCTGTGAACAGCTTTTCCATCGTTCTCTGTTGTACATGTCTGGCTTATCCTGCGCTCCCCAGACTGCACAATGCTTGGGTCTGAACTCCCATTGAGCAATTTAACAAGGTTCTGCACCTTTTGGCTAACATTAGGGCATGATGCCAATTCAAACATTTGTACCTCCCACCAGCCCTGGCATAAGTATATTCAGTAAATCTGACACTCCTTTTATTTTCCCTCCAGTATTCCTGTACTCTCCCTCTTGCCAGTACTGGCCCTACTGCACAAGTCCCTGGCAAACAGATTGCTGCCCTGCCTGGCTTCACCCCAGGCTTTCGAACTAGGATGAAGCACCAGGCACACACTGGGCTTTGGCCAGTCATGCCAGAGGGAGCTGGTGCGAATGACGTCTAGCACAGACTGGACCTCAGAAACATGGAACAGCTCTGCCATTCCTGCAGGAGAGGTTATGGTAACAGGTCTCAATGCTCCTCTTCCTCGGGAATAATGAGGAATCAGCATTCCCTGCTTGTCTAAACCTCATGAATCCTACCTAATGCTCTTGTGCATAAACACTGAACGTATGAGTGCAAAAAAACAACTGCTGTAAATGCCCATGTGTAACTTGCACGTTACCATACTCCAAACCCATATAATTACCTTATCACTAATTACACATGTAGAGTGATGACAGCAGAACCAATCCTTCACAGACTTATGACACCTTAGATATGACTACCTTTTGACCATTTTAGGTGATGATTCGGATCATCAATCTCAGACAAAGAAAAAGGAGAGAATAATCTGGTTAGACCTGCATCTGGTCAGACCTGCATCTGGTCAGAATTTGTTCTGTACTTGTTTTATACAACACTCTCCTACACCAACACTGGCTTGTATCAGATAGAAGTCAGTTTAAGGGCCATTTAACAATGACTTTTAAACACATCTGTTACAGAAAAATCTGTGTATCATTTTGCACAGAACCACTGCAGTCTGAAGAGTTTTTTTTGTTTTGACCTTTTCTTGCAGCAGAGTGATTCAGCACATACATTTCATTTTAAAATTTTTCCCTTAAAAAACCCAAACCAACAACAAAACACACAAACCAAAAGAAGGAGTAAAGCACCTTAAAACTTCATCAATGTCATGATTAAAACATTTATATCAGCGTATTACCTAAATGGAAGTGGGAAGAGGAAACAAGCCACATTTTTCCATTTCACCCACATGTGGGTACATACAAAAATACCACACCCTCACATCCACATGCACTGTCCCTAATAGGAGGTAAACACTCCTCCACCTTCCCAGCTACTTGAGCAAGTACTCACTAGCCCAAGACTGGTGTCAAAGATGAAATCTTGCAAAAGAGCATAGTATTTTCCCTCCTGAGTCTGCTCAAATACTTCTTCCTCTTCTCCTCTATCCCTGGCTACTACTGTTTTAACTTTGGGTTGTGAGTAATTTTTCCTCCTAAACTTCTGCTTTTATCTTTACTGGAAAATAAATTCTACACATTTCTGTATTTATAGCAAAATAAGTAGTAGAGGATTAAAAAACAGGCATTCTGGCATAATACTTTACCAATTAAAAACTTTTCTTAGAACTTTTGAAAAGACATCTAATAATTATGAAAGTCACTAACTCAGCCATGATTAGGATTATAGGCAATATCTGTGATTAAATTGTCTTTAAACTGAGGACTGCAAAAGCGTATGCATGCATACCTTCTGGATAAGGTAATTAAAATCTGTTCTGATGCGTTTTGCTTTGCCTTTTAAAACACAGGCATATATACAAATATAGCCCTAGGCTCAAGAAACTTGAAGCCACAAATCATGGAGATGTCAATATATTTTGGGAGCTATCAATTTATAGCTGCATTATTTTACTTCTCTGGGTATTCACTGGAAACAGAACACTAAGTTAGAAACACCTTGACCCAATTCAGATTGACAATATTTCAAAATGTCTGTATTTTTTCTAAAATTTAAAACCTTAAATGTCCGTGGAAGCTGCCATCACAGCTAGCTTACTAGCGAAGGACACCACAAAGGTCAACTGTTTCGGGAACACAGGTGAAACTTAATTGAAACACACTTTTTGAACAGTATTGGCACTAAAATTGGTAAAACAACAGCCATTAAAAATACTGATGAAACTTTATTAAATAGTACATATTACCATGTATCTGTTTTGAAGCTGATTACTAAAATTGTCTTAGTAAAGTACTAGAGACTGTCTCTGCTGGTTTTTGAATGGAGTATGCAGAGCTCTATACATCTAGAAACCAATATATTTGTTCACATGTAGAGCATGAATTCATCCATATTGCAGAATTTACATTTTGCTGTTATCACCTTTGCTGATACCACAAAGAGTCAAGAAGGACCTACACGTTTCCACAGGAACCTTACTATTCAGCAGCCAGTAAGCATGCATGTATGTGATTACACACTTATTAAATGTTACTGACTTCATTTACTAAATCTTTATGGCTTCTGTCACATCTGGTTTTCTCCCTCTCTGTTTCTTTCTGGCTGTTTCTTACTATGCTTTCCTCCTCTTCAAACTCATTTTCCCTAAAATGTGTTCTTTCTAGACCTGGATTTTCTACCACTCCTCCTGCCCTCCATCATCTCATTTCATTTTCTGCTGCACAGCAGGCACTGGAGGAAGGAGGAAGAGAGAAATATTTTTAACTATCTGATACAAATAATATGGACAGCCTTTTTATATGGGGTTAATGTCCTTGGGAGAAGTAGACACTAGACTGGAAAGAAAACCATCATGCACAGGAAGTGGGTCTCCCATGTAGCTCAGTGACTGAGCTTTGCAAACTGATATTGACTGCAAGCAAAACCTGTCTTTCCCAGTCCATCCGAAGCACTAGGAGAGCCAGCAGTTCTTTGACATTACAGCTGGTCTTCAGTATTCTGGCTGCCACAAGAGGAATACTCTTGATTCTCTAGGGATCATTCTTGGATGACCAGGTCAGCCATCTACTGCTGCTCAAATGTTGAGGCAGAAAGACACTCTGAAGGAAAGGTGATTCTCAAGTGCTCAGAGC